GGCTGGGCGGCAGTGGTCCTGGGCCCAGGCCCCAGGTTCAGCACTATTGCGGTCCAGACCCTGACCCTGCTGTGCATCAGGAGCTCGTGGCTGTGTCCCCCATGTCTAGTGTGCCCTAGGTGCTCATCACTCTCAGAATGAATGGGTGACGAATGTTCAAGTAAACTGGCTGGTGCCCCACCCCCTTCTCCCCAGAGCACCTCCAGCTCCAGCTGCAGGGAGAGCAGTCTGACTGCTGAGTGAGCAGTGGTCCTGGGCCCAGGCCCCAGGTTCAGCACTATTGCGGTCCAGACCCTGACCCTGCTGTGCATCAGGAGCTCGTGGCTGTGTCCCCCATGTCTAGTGTGCCCTAGGTGCTCATCACTCTCAGAATGAATGGGTGACGAATGTTCAAGTAAACTGGCTGGTGCCCCACCCCCTTCTCCCCAGAGCACCTCCAGCTCCAGCTGCAGGGAGAGCAGTCTGACTGCTGAGGGGACTTGGCCTGGACCAGAGAAGCCTTCAGGGCCCCTGAGCTGCTCCTGGGCTGGCTCCCCCTCCGCCCCGCACCCCCAGGCCTCTGTGCCTCTCCCCCCTCCATGGGACCCAGAAAGAACTGAGAGCCCTGGCCAGTGTGCTCGGTGGTTAGACTATCAGCCCGCCCACCCAAGGGTCGTGGATTCGATTCCCTGCCAAGGGTGTGTACCTGGGTTGCAGGCTCTATCCCTGGCCCTGGTTGGGGCGCTTACGGGAGGCAACCATTCGATGTGTCTCTCTCACTTGGAGGTTTCTCTCTCTCTCCTCCTCCCTCCCTCCCTCCCTTCCACTCTCTCTAAAATCAATAGAAAAAGTATCCTTGGGTGAGGATTAACAAAAATAAATAAAATAAACTGAGCTTTACTGACCTGGGGAGCGGGGAGTGGAGCCCTCTCTCCCCCTAGAGCAGTGGTTCTCAACCTTCCTGCCCTTTAAATACAGTTCCTCATGTTGTGACCCAACCATAAAATTATTTTCGTTGCTATTTCATAACTGTAATGTTGCTACGGTTATGAATCGTAATGAAAATATCTGATATGGAAAGCTGGGTCTGGAGAACAGGGCAGTGGAGAGGGTGTGGCCTGTGTGGCAGGAGGCTACTGGGAAGGCAGGCGGGTGCTTAGTGGTCTCTGTGTCCCTTGTTTCCTGTTCTAACCCAATGTTTATCCTTCTCTAGGGCTGGGTTTGAAACTCCTGGGAACTTTTAAACCAGTGGTTCTCAACCTTCCTAATGCCACGACCCTTTAATACAGTTCCTCATGTTGTGGTGACCCCCAATTTCATTGTTACAAATTGAACATAAATAAAGCATGGTGATTAATCACAAAAACAATATGTAATTATAAATGTGTTTTCCGATGGTCTTAGGCAACTCCTGTGAAAGGGTCGTTCGACCCCCAAAGGGGTCGCGACCCACAGGTTGAGAACCGCTGCTCTAGAGCCCTGCCTGCCAGGGCCTGAGGCACAGACCACGGGCACTTACTGTGACGGGCACCTTTGTGGGCTTCCAGTCTCTTTTTTTCTGCAAATGGGAGGATAGCTGGTTCCTGTCACGAGAGGCTGTAACCCAGGTCAGGGGTGGGCTGCGTGGAGGACACAGAGGCCGCTCAGGGGCGGAGGCCAAAGGGCCAAGCAAGTGCTGCTGCTTTTCATCAGAACAGCGGCCGCCCACACTGTCCTCGGCTTTGTTTCACAAACGTTTTCCTGGTTACTAACCCTCACCCGAGGGTATGTTTCCCACTGATTTTTGGAGAGAGTGGTGGGTGTGGTCAGGCAGGCGCCAGGTAAGCCCGAGGGCCCTGAAGCTGGAGGGCAGGCTGTGGACAGGAGCCCGGGGCGAGTGCAGGATGACCAGACAGGCAGCAGGCGGGGTCTCCAGGCTCAGCCCCTGCCCACGTGGCCCTGGCTGTGGGCTGCGCTGGGCGGAGACCACCTCCCGGGCATCTCGGGAAGAGCTCAGCATCCAGTCCTGGCTTCCTCCCTCCCATGGCCTGTGCTCCAGGCAGTTTCCCCACAGTTCCCAGCTCCCTCTCTGACATGCGGGTGGTGACAGCCGAGGGTGGGCACTGACCGCTCTCTCTCTGCCCGGTGCAGGCTGCCCTGGACTTCGTGGTGGAGGAGGACCTGAAGGCCCACCTCACGTGCTGGTACATCCAGAAGTACGTCAAGGAGAACCCGCTGCCGCAGTACCTGGAGCGCCTGCAGCCGTGACCCTGGCTGGGGGCAGGCGCCCCTGCCAGACCTCTCCTCGCCCTGGCCCTGCCTCCGTGTGCTCTCAGGCAACCTGGATCCCATGGCGGTGGGCCACTCAGCGGTTTTGTAAGGACGCTCATCGCCCCCGGAGGCGGCTGGCCGAGGATGGGCAGGTCTGGTGACTGGCAAGGAGAGGCCCGGGGCTGCATCCCGGCAGCTCCTGCCTGCAGACCTGGCGGCTTCTTGGAGACCGTACGGCCTGTTGTGGGCCGGCCTGTGCGGCCAGTAGGCAGGACTGGCATGCGGACGGGCATCCTATGGCCCTCTGCGCCCCTTGTGTTCCTTGCTCTGTGATTGGCACCCCCTCACCACCCCTGCCACTCGGTCCTATTTGCAGAGGGGGTGTTCCCAGTGTTGAGAGGAGCAATAAGAAACTATGTGCCAACTTCCGAGGGCACAGCGCCAGCTGCGGCTGCCGTCACCACTGCCCGCCTTCCTCCAGCTGCCTGCCTGGCAGGGGTGATGTGTGCGGCCGGGAACAGTGGCCTGGGCATTAGCTCGGGCTCACGTGTGCACACAGCACGTGCAGCACGGAAGCTGAGTGCCAGGCGGTGCGCCGGGCAGAGAGGCTCGGGGGAGCACCAGCTATTCTCTCCCTGGTGCCTGTGCCCTAGCTCCTTGCCTCCTTGTCTGTCAGCTCTGCGGGAACCGAGGTCCCGCCCCCTGTGGCTGCCCTGCCCTCTCCATCTGCCTGTCACCAGGGCAGCTCCAGGGGCTCCAAAACTTCCCAGGGACCCTCCCCCCTGGCCCGGGCCCTGGGTGAGCTTCCTCAGAAGGGACCCTGTGGAGCAGAGGTGGGAGGGAGGTGAACTGTCCTCAAAGCTGTCCTCACCACCAGGAAAGACACTTTTCTGCAGAGGCTTCCCTTTGGGGCCGCAGCCTCGGGGCACCTTGTGTGGGAGCAGTGGTTGGGCATGGCCGTGACCTGCACGTGCACGCTCTGGCCCCAGGGAGCCTGGGAATGACAGAGGGCACCTCCTTCCGGCTGTGCTCCCCCACTCTGCAGTGTGCTATATGAGGGCCAGGGGAGTGCCTGTCCCCCTGTGCTGGGAGTCATGGGCCAGCAGGGGGTGGGCACAGCTGCTGGGCCCCTCCCAAGGCTGGGGCAGCCCATCCTGACACAGTTGAAGAAGTGGGGGTAGGCCTGAGAGTGGACAGACCGGCCGGGTCTTTTCTCTGCCTCCTTCCCTCCCACTCACACAAGTTTACATACAGATTCGTCATGGAAACTGTCCAGCAGCTCCGTGAGCTGGTGCTCTCGCTCTGCGGCCTGTGGGTGAGGTGGCCCAGTGCTAGGAGGATGTCCGATGCGGGGCTAGGACATGCAGGCTGTGGGCGGGGCCGGGGGCACTGTGTCCCAGCCTGAGCCTGTGTTCTAACAGCAGGTGACGTGCCATGCTGGGCCCGCAGGCAAACAGAACTCGTTAATTGAACCAGGAGCTGCTAAGGGTGGGGGGGGGAGGGGTGAGAGTGGGTAGCCTTGGCCCAGGGACAGCTTGTCCCAGTTCCCGCAGGTGTGGCCGCCTTGCCTCCGCTGCCTTAAAGTGCCGCTGACCGCTGCGGGCCGTGCTGCGTGGCCGCCGGGCCCGGGCAGCAGCGCAAGCCTGATGCTCTCCAGGCTGGGGACACGGCAGCCCTGGCCTAGAGCCCTCGGCCGGTGTGGCCATGACTGGCCACCTCTGGTGCTGCCCCATGTGTCTGGCATCCAGCCCGCCCTCCTCCGCCTCCCAACCAGGAGGCCAGGAGCCCTCGCTGTGTCCGGGGCATCACCAGCCCCTCCAGCAGGTCGCTCACAGGCCCGGGTTCCGTCACATCTCGCTTTGATGTCAAAACAGGTCGTAACTCACGTGCCTTCCCCCCTCAGGACCCGCTCTGGGTGATGTCTGGCCAAGGCCCTGGGCCCCTTTGTTGTTTTTTAAGCTCCTGACCAGAGCGCCGGACATGCGTGTCAGCGGGAGCCGGGGCCAGCCTCGGGCCGCCTGTGGGGTGGCCCTGGGTTTACAGTGAATAAGCTGAGGCACAGTGAGGTGTGGGAGCCGCAGGTGTGAGGGGTGGGCGGGGCTCCCCGGGGCTCCCCACCCTCCACCCCTGCTGCCCTGACCTCGCTCGCAGCCCCGCCGTTCCAGGCGGGAAAGGACAGGATGGCGCCTGCGCACAGGGTGGCCGAGGGCTCACAGCCAGACGGCAGGGCCACCAAGGCCTGGGGGGCACCTTGCTCCCGTGCCTTCTCCCCTTTCACCGCCAGCCAGGGCCCGCCCTGTCCCTTCCTCCACCTGCAGGAAGGGCCATCTGAGGCCTGGCCATGCCTTCCCCGCGGAGCGGCTGCAAGGGGCTCACCTGGAAGACGCGATGATGTCATAGGGCCTCACATCAGCTGCTGCTCTTAGACGTGTCTCTCTCCCCCTACAAAGCCTTCTCTTGGGGTTTCTAGTCCAGGGGAGCGAGATGGGGTGTCCATCCTGGCCTGTGGGGGCAACATCACAAATGGCCTCAAAACAGGATCGAGGGGGCCCTGGCCGGTGTGGCTTAGTTGAGCACCGTCCCATGCACTACAAGGTCACCAGTTCAGTTCCCAGTCAGGGCACGTACCCGGTTGCAGGTTGATCTCCAGTTGGGGTGTGCAGGGTGGGGAGACTCCTTTCTGAGTGGGATGTTTTCCTCCTAGTTCCCAGCCTGAGGGTCACCATGCTGACCCCAAACACAGGAGGAAGAAGAGGGCAGTGCAGTGGCTAGGCCATCAGGCCTGTCGGATAGATGAGGGGGCAGGCCCTGTAGCTGCAGGAGGCTGGGAGGCAGGGGCAGGGTCTGTGCCCACCCCCCTCCCCATAACAATGTGCCCTCTGTCCGCTCGCAAGGATGGCCTGGGAGGGCCGTGCACTGTCCCTGCACCTCCCCTGGTCGCTGGGAAGGCTGGGAAGGGCTCTGTCTGGAGCCACAAGGTCCGTGGCTGACGGGGATGCCCGGTGGATGCTGAGAAGGTGGATGCGTGCCAGGCCACTGTGATGGGGAGACTGACGGAGCGCCCACCCATCCCCTCGCTTGGTCCTCAGCGCAGAAGCCTCTGATCGGCTGATGTCTACCCAGATGTCCCCTCTGCTGTTCTCAGGGACCCACTTCCTCCAGATCAGCACCCTAAGTTTTCTATGAGGGCACGGAACTGTAGCCCGCAGGCCAATACTGGGTGGTTTTCCGTGGTGTCGTTCTCATGGCTACAGGATATTAAACAGATTCTTTTCTGGCTCTCAGAGACGCTCTCTGGTTCTGTCCTTCCGCTGGGAGCTGAGTCTAGTTTTTTCCGCCGACTCCAGGGTGTTCCCAGCAGCCCCCCCGCCCCCAACCCCCTCGGCTTTGTGGCTTTCTTGTCCCCACCACAGTGACGAGGGACAGCTGGGCAGCCTCCCAGCTCCACCTTCGAGAAGTGCCTCGCTCAGGCTCATCAGATAGGTGAGAGGCTGACCTGTCGCCACCTGCTCTGACCTTCCAGAGCTCCATCTCCCCGGCAGGCGAGGTGTTACTGGCCCAGTCGGGCTGGGTCCCTGACCACAGGTTTCCGCGTGTAAGATCGTGTGTCAGGCCGTTCTTGCTCTAAGGGCAGCCTGCACAGAGTCGGGAAGGAAACTGCTGCAGGTGCTTCAGACGGGCCTAGTGTGGGGACTGGAGGCGGAAACCGCTGGGAGGATGGGAAGAGCACAAGTAAGAAGGCGAGATGACCCCAATACTAGCAAATGCACGCAGCTGCGGTGACACAGACCTGGGGGAGCAGAAGTGTTACCCAAAGCCATGTCCCAGGGCTGCTGCTGGGCCCTTGCCTGAGCGGTGGGCAGGCCAGAGGGTGGAGAGCCTCGTGATGAGAGAGGCCGCTCCGCTCGTCTGTTCCCACTGTGGACAGAGTGCACCCAGCAGCCTCGCGTAGCAGGTGAGTCCGAGTCTGCGTTCCAGCCGGTGGCGTGTGCGTGGGAGTGAGGCGGAAGCCGCCACGCCTCCGTCTGTCTCCTTCCATGCTGAGCGCCGTGGTGACCAGGCTTCAGGGACCGGAAACTCGCCAGCTGTCCAGAACACGGGTCCCTGCGTCGCTACGTGGAGAAAACCAACCTGTCAACTAGCTCTCCTTTTGGCTTGTTATTGAGCAAGATCTGCATACCTGTCGTGTTTTCAGCATTCTCCATGTTGGGGCCTGTCATACCAGGGAGTGGGCTAACACCTTGAAGTATGGTGCTTCTGTCATTTAAAACCTGAAGTACATGGGATTGGCTTAGTGATTGGGCAGCAGGGAACATGAACATAGATATTGCAGAATGGAAAGTGGGAGGCTCATGTTATGCAGAGGCAAAGTGTTTGTAAAAATCAAAACTTGCAATAACTCGAAGGACAGACCAGGGACGCAGAGGCTGTGACTCTAGGGGAAAGAGGTGGGAACGAGCCAGACATCCATCGTGTGTGTTGGTGGTTCCTTCGTTTGTAGTGAGGCTTGAGGAAGAGAGGCATGCAAGCAAGACACTGTTTGCCAACACGGAAGGGGGAATGAACGTGTTTGAGGCTGTGTGGTGTTGGAAAAGGTAACAGCTACAGGACCCCAAATAACAGGAAATAAAACTGAAAAAGGCCCATTAGAACATTCTCAGCTTTATAGACCAAGGCCTCAGCCCACAGCAAAGGCCTGAAGGAGTCTGTTGACTCGGTCCATTAGATAATCGAGACACTCTGGAGGCATCAGTGAATTAGACACACACAGCTGAGAAGACAAGGAAGCAAAGAAATAGAGCCCCTGGAAGCCACGTTAGAAAGAACCGTGGGTGCAGCTGTGAGGCAGATTAAACAGCTACAGTGGGGCCTTGACTTACGAGTTTAATTCATTCCGTGACAGAGCTCGTAACTCAAATTAGTCATATGTCAAATCAAAAAGTGAACGAGTGAGACACGTGATGCTGGGCTGATGTTGTGGCGTTCACTGTGACGTTCGCTGCGCCAGCTAGTGGGGGCGTATCAGAAGCTGCTCATAACCCGAATTTTAGCTCGCAACTCAAAGCAAAACATCGGCTGAGAGACGGCTCGTATCTTGAAAAACTCGTTAGTCAGGACACTCGTAAGTCAAGGCCCCACTGTACTAGAGCAGCAAAGGCAAGAAGGGAGAAAGCCAAGGGGATTGATTTATCTCACCCACTGAACAAAGTTGCCCGAGGCCTTGCCCAACAAGAGGACCAGATGTGTGTGCAGACATTCTGAGATCAGCCGCAGCAATGCAGAAAGGGACCTGGACGCCTAGTCTGCTGCCCAGGGTACCTGCAGGGAGCTCTGAGCCCTCGGGGAGGGTACAAAGCCCCCTGGACCACCACCGGGCGGGGCGCTCACACCAGCTGAGCTGCCTGCCTGCTGGTGCTTCACACCAAGTGCATTTTTAAAAAAATATATTTTATTGATTTTTCACAGAGAGGAAGGGAAAGGGACAGAGAGTTAGAAACATCGATGAGAGAGAAACATCAATCAGCTGCCTCCTGCATATCCCCCACCGGGGATGTGCCCACAACCCAGGTACATGCCCTTGACCGGAATCGAACCCGGGACCTCTCAGTCCGCAGGCTGACGCTCTATCCACTGAGCCAAACCAGTTTCGGCCCAAGTGCATTCTTGATGAAGTCTTGCTTTGCTTCCACACTGCTTCCTGTCACCCATCTGAGTCCTCAGGAGACAAATAAGCCTTGAGGAGAGGAGAGCCACCTCCCCCACCTCTGACTTGGTGGCTCTCCGGTAACATCTTTTCTGGGGCCATGACTCAGATTAGCAACTGGGACGGGGCTCTGATCACTGCCCAGTCATCTCTGATCCCTGACAATGGATTGCAGTGCGTTCAGTTCCTCTGGGGATTTCTTTTGCAGCATCACAAAGGTTAGCAAGACAGACTGGGCCTCTGCCCAGGGGCACAAAATTGAAAGTAAAACCAAATGAGTGCCCAGGCTCACCAGGATTCCAAATAAAAGGTAATTCCTCCCTCCAGTTCAAGTCTTGCATGTTCTTACATGAATAAGGTCCTTGTGGAGATGTTTGGGGTTTAACCCTAAATTGCACAAGGGCCTCAGGGACTTGCATTTCACTTGTAATGAACTGACCAGCTCATCCAAGGATGTGCACATGTGCGCTGGCGCCCAGCTCTCCAAGCCCTTCCCATTGCCTGAGATGGCAGGAGAGGAACCGAGACACATACGAGGGAGCGGGGTGGCTGGGAGCCCTTCCCACCGGCTGCACCTTTGGACGCACTACATAAAACCCTATCTGAGCATGGCCCAGACAGAACCACGTTTACATCATCAGTCAGGTGTCAGTCTGCTGCCTTTCTCTGCCTCTGCCTGTAGGGCCCATAGGAGAGGAACTTACTGTATATGCAAGCCAAACAGTACAGGTCTAATTACAGATATTTCCCCTAGGTCAGGGAGGAAGGCCCTTCCCTTGAGGGTTTATATGAACATTGTAAGGAACGACACTGGCCAGAAGCTGTTAACAACGATTATCGTGTGAGCAGAGGTTCAGGCAGGACAGCCTGGTTGAACAAATTGAAGCTAAGATCTTATGGTTATTAGCCAGGCTGGGTCAAGGTCCTTTACTCCACCCCATTAATTCAGGTAATTGTTCTGCGCCAATTCTGGAATGAATGGGATAAAGGGACCTTCTTCATGTACATACTCCAAGCTCTAATACCTAACATTGAGACACAAAGATGATATCTTCAGAAGGATGACAGGCACAGCTGGGTATGTTGGCTTTGTCCTACTGAACCTTACAAAAATTTACAGGCTAACAATAAATTACCTGCTGGGAGTATACATTTGTCTCAAGGGCACATGGAACATTCACACAGATAGACCACATGTTAGGACACAAAACAAGTCTCTACAAGTTCAAGAAGATTGAAATCATATCAAGCATCTTCTCAAATCACAGTGGAATGAAATTAGAAATCAACTACAGTAAAAACACCCCAAAACATTCAAACACATGGAGGCTAAATAGCAAGTTATTAAGCGAAGAATGGGTTAACAACGAGATCAAGAAAGAAATAAAAAACTTTCCGGAAACAAATGAAAATGAACACAAAACACCCCAAAAGCTCTGGGACACAGCAAAAGCAGTCCTGTGAGGGAAATTCATAGCACCACCTCAAAAAACAAACAAACAAAAAAAGAAAAATCAGCAATAAACTATTTAACCCTACAATTAAAATAACTAGAAAGAGAACAACAAGAAAAGCCCACAGTAAGTAGAAGGAAGGAAATAATAAAGAGTAGAGCAGAAATAAATGACCTAGAGACTAAAAAAAAAATACAAAAGGTCAATGAAAGAAGAGCTGGTTCTATGAAAGTATAAACAAAATTGATCCATTAGCAAGACTTATCAAGAAACAGAGAGAGGACCCAAAAAATAATATCAGAAATGAAAGCAGAAAAGTAGCCCTGACCGGTTTGGCTCAGTAGATAGAGCATTGGTCTGCGGACTCAAGGGTCCCAGGTTCGATTTCGGTCAAGGGCATGTGCCTTGGTTGTGGGCACATCCCCAGTGGGGAGTGTGCAGGAGGCAGCTGATCGATGTTTCTCTCTCATCGATGTTTCTAACTCTCTATCACTCTTCCTTCCTCTCTGTAAAAAATCAATAAAATATATTAAAAAAAAAAAAAAAAGAAAGCAGAAAAGTAACCCCTGACACCACAGAAATAAAAAGGACTGTAAGGAAACACTATGAACATCTATAGGCCAACAAGATGAACAATGTGGATGAAATGGACAAGTTCCTAGAAAAAAAACAATCTTCCAATACTGAAACAGGAAGAATCAGAAAACCTGAATAGGCCAATAACAACTAATGAAATAGAAGCTGGAATAAACTCCCAGCAAACAAAAGCCCAGGGCTGGAGGGCTTCACAGGGGAGTTTTACCAAAGATTAATACTCCTCAAACTATCAATCTGCCTCAGACTATTCAAAAAAATTCAAGAGGAAGGAACACTTACAAGCTCATTCTATGAAGCCAGCATCACCCTAATACCAAAACCAGGTAAAGACAACACAATGAAAGAGAATTATAGGCCAATATCCCTGATGAACATAGATGCC